CAGAAATGACTTTACAATGTTTGTTATGCCTTCATGGAGACGAAATGTCGTGGTTATAAGCAGTTTTCAGGACTACGCCAGGTTTGCTAAAATTTTTTGCTTTGTATGCTGTCCTGAAAACTTATGGCTTTCCTTGGAAGTTTAAAAATTAACACCTGTGGCTACAAACATCCAAAAGTATGTTTACTCCTGGCAGCAAGGGCTGACTGTCACTCTGGACACTTACCTGCTCTTTTCAGGAGTATCTTCAGCTGCAAGAAAACTGTGTAGCCCAGGGAGCAGGTGGTGGGTGCTCACACACCCTAACCCTGAATCAGTTGATTCAAAGGACAGTTGGAAGTAACTGAAGTTGTTCCAGTCCTGATGCCAGTCTGGTCCCCCACAGGTGAGGCAGCTGTGTCAGAAAACCCAAAATGAATATCCACTCTCTGAGCTGGCACCTTTGATGGAAGGATCGGCAGTGAAGTCCAAGACTGAACTGGCCTCCAGCTTAAACTGTCCTCTGATCCAAGGCTGTCTCTCAACATCACAAATTAATAACATTAGATGAGGAATCCTGCACACACTGCTATTTTTGCTGCCAAGCAGTCTTTCAAGAAGTTGTCTCCCAATCTGATATCTTTACACAGAATAATTTCATCCACAGAAATGCTTTCTAGTGGTTAAATTATGGCCAAGAATCTACATTTGGCCTGAATTTGCTCATGTTGATGCATCGTACCACTACTGGAAAATAAGTGTGGTGTCACTCAAAATGATATTACACTGGAGTGTGACCAGGAAAAGGATTAGAGCAGTATCCTGTGACTGGGAGCGAGAAGTTGAACTGGTTCTATATTTGCTGGAGGCAACAGAACACCTTGGTGACAGGCAGCCACTGTGCTACGTCCACCTCAGCTTCTGGGGCAAGAGATGGGAAGGCATCACCACATCAAAACAAAGGGTGCCTCTCTGCAACCATTTCCCTCCTGGCTGGCCACAGGCAGCACTAGGAAATGACAGCTTTGGTACTCCCTGGCTCTGCTGACCCCTATCATCACCCGAGCCCTGGAGAGTTCATCATTCAGAGAAGAGGGCTGAGGAAAGCTCTCCTCAACCTCCGTTAAGACACTCTTTGGTTCCTAGAGAAAAAACAGAAGAGGCAAATTAACATCCTGTCCTAGGAAGTTTTTTGTCCTCATCAATATGGTGGCAAAATCTAGTTTTATCAGCACTGCTGAGAAAGTCTGAAGTAGCTTGAGGATTAGAGAACAGTCAGTGGGAGACATGATTTGCACAAGCAAATTCACCCATTTCCTAAGAGAGGGCAAAATTCAACTCTTTTCTCCTGGCCATAGCATAGCTGAAGGCCCAGCCTGTCAGATTCACCTCAGTGTGATTCCAGGGACTGGTCTGGAATCAATTTGACCCAGTAAGTCTCTTTGATTGCATCAGGCCTTTCAGAAGTTTTGAACAACAAGGATCTAAACAGCAGGCAGCAATCTGCACAAAAACAATCTCTGCAGTTTAAGGAATTTTTAAAGGTCTGTGCCTTTTTTTTTTTTCTCTTCCTTTTTTTTTCTTTCCTTGTTGGTTTCAAATGCTTTCCAACTGAGCAAATGCTGCAGTGGGTTCATGGGAGGAGGCCTTGAGGCACCCCTGACTTTGGCACTGTTATCCCATAGACACTCCATACATTTTTGGCACCTTGCAACAGACACATTGACAGCCACAGATTGATGGAAAGGGAAAGAAGCTGTTTTGGAGTCAAAAGAGAATGTACTCAGATTTCTAAGGCCATCTGAAAGCATGCCAGAATGATACTGGATTTCGGCGTTCTTAAGCTCCTTTAAGATGATGCAGCAAGTGGTCTTTTCCACATGTGATGATGTATTTCAGGACAAGAGTTTCTTCAAGATTTTCCAAGCCTGTGGGCTCCTGATCCTTTTTCAAATTACAGAGATGATAGCATACTGGGGAGAGTTGTGATTAGTTTAAACTCTCCACAGCTGCAAGAGATGAATGTACAA